GAAAGCCAATATACAGTTCTATCTCTTTTCACTTGAAAATGGCAGCAGTGACTGTCGAAATATTGTGAAAATAAATCTGTGATTTGAATGAATCATGATCTTCTCAGCAGTTCTCTACTTCATTTCATCAAAAAATTTCTTGATTTGTCCTGCGAGAGTATGATTTTTGAGATTTTCAAGCTTCTTTTTAAGTCTTAAATCATATACCAAACACTTTTAGAGCAGAAAAGAACTTAACAGAAAAATGAGAGAACAACAGAAAAGAACAAAGTAGGAAAAGAAGAATGAGTTTTTAATATTCAAAATAAAGGCTGGTCTGATAGAAAACACATAACATAGAAGTAAAACAAGAAAAGAGTGTCTACTAGCAGAGGAATAGTTTTGTTATAGAATAAAAAACTGGACACAGCGCTATTAAAAGCGCTGTGTCTCATCGATACATCTAAGAACTAAGGAATATAGAGTTTTCAAATTTTTTCCTTCTGAAGTGTTGTTTTGTAAAAGCATATGATTTAATGTTATATTTTCATTGGTAAAAACATTTCCAAATTCTTCTAACATAGTTTTCTCATATTATCATATTGATTCCGTAAGTGATGACTTATTTCTATTGACAGCTACATGCACAAGATGTATTGTTTATCAGTTTTCTTTTCTCAAGATGGCAAAAATCAGGTCGGAATCGTAGAAAATAAATTTCTAATTTTCTCTTCTTAGTTTTAGTTGATTACGTTTCTGAAATGCATTTTACTATGATAATACGTCCTTCCATCTTTTTTGTCTCATGGCGATAGCACAGTTCAGTATTCTGTGCTCGATCGAATATTATTCGACCAATTGTAGTCTTTCTGTACAGTGCTCACTAGGGATGCACCGGTTACGGTTTAATCGAACAACTGATATGTCTGCCACGTTTTCCTGTGGTCACGATCCTATGGTTAGAAAGAACATTTTGAGCTACATTTGTGTTTGTATCCCGTCTTTCAGAGATTTTCATAGCATATGAAATGCAGCGTTGGAAATTATCAGCAACTGGTTCTGGACTGCACTGTAATGCTTAAATTTTAAATTAAAGGAGAAAACTTTGCCTTCTGCTAGTCCAAAGCGCTGAATAATTTGAAACAGAACTCAGAAATCAGAAGAAGAATACGTGGTATAATAGGTTTGACTCTTCTGTTCGAGTACGGTAACGATACGCTTTTTTATCATCTGCTCTGACGAACCGTAAACTTACCGCAACTTTACCGCATATCGCTTATTTGAAATATAGAAGAAATAGAAAAAGCGAACGCTGAAATTTTAACATTATTTGTTAAAAAACTTCTCTGAGAATACCAATTACAACCGATATCGATTATGTACTTAATATTTTTATTACTTTTGCTATCAGATTAGTTAGCGGAAAAATTTAACGGGATAGATGGGAATTATTATAGAACCGCTCGATATATCATAGTATTTGACCAAATTGGTGCAGTCTCATCTGCACCCGATCTGTTTGGAAAAAATGCTGTACAATTACCATCGCCCAAGAAGCTGCCAACAAAAAAAGATACTAAAGATGAAACAATTGGTCAATCAGTTAATGGCAAAGGATTTGTCGATAGTGATAAATCATGGACACCCCAGGCTATTGATGCAATATTCACGTTGTGTGATCGAATTGTGACTCATTGGAAATCCAGATATTTGCGCGTGCAAACTACCGTCTCGCTTCATTCAGTGTTGTGCGGTGCAGACAAAATATTAACTAAAGTACCGTTATTATTTGCAGGTGAGTAACATTCAGCTGGGAAAAACATGTCGGAAGGAAGGCTAGCTTTTTAGATGAAAATGTGACAGTGAGTCGGTCGGGATGGCCGTATCTTTTATATAGACTTTACCTTTCATAAGAAAAGCATAAAGATGATCATTATCTACTGAGAATCTGGGAAGAAAAAAGGAATTCTCGGTATCCGGTTTTATTAACATCCATCGCCCAAATTAAATATTTCTTTCATTTACTAGTTTCTTAACGCAATTTTGAAAACAGTTCAAAAATGGAAAACTAAGAAAGTAATAAGGCATTTAATAGTACTTTTTGTTGTCTAAAGCCGTACGTATTTCGAAAAGCTTTTATGTTGATAATTATTAAGAATCTTTTAACACACGAAAAGCCTGCTAATAAATAAACCTAGAAAAATTCAAAAATTGAAATCTGAATGTACTCTTCAAAGCAGGCTGCATGCCTGCTCGTTGAGATCAGTGAATTTCATGCACACTACGTCAGCTTCCTTTTTTTAAGAACCTACAACTATTTGAACAGATAGAGGTGTCAGATTCGATGTTAAAGAAGGTTTTGACAAATACCAGAATATCTTCACACCGTTGTATGATCGTGAACTGTGGCACGAATTTGTAATTAGTCACATTGAAATGTTACATTTGCAAAAGAATGTGAAAGTGGAATTTGAAATAAACAGTTCAAATAGCCGAATATTTTTTGGTGAAATTCTAATGGATTATGCAGACAACTACAATTCACAAGATCGTCTATTCTCACCGTATGATGTTATTCTTATGACAATTAATAATGATAATTATTTTGGCGTTGTTGTATATGCTCGTCATACACGCGTGAAAGAAGACAACCAGGAAACTAATAAATGCAGAACAATTCAAGTTCACACACTTATTGGTATTTATGTATCTGAAAAGTGTAGTGTTCAGCATCGTAAACGTCGCACGTTAAACCCTGTTGTCGAAATTTCAAGATTTAAAAGTTTGACGCCAACGAAACGATGTTTAACAGCAATTAATAATTTACCTTTCTCGAATCAAGATGTTTGTTGGCTCCTTCATTGATTGACCCCTATTTTCAACAATCGGAACGATCATACCACAATGTGACCGCAAAATATTTTCAACGAACGACAACTGAAAGAGATACAAACGGCTGTTAATATTCATGAGGATCTAATTCAACGTATTTATCTGATACACACTCCACCAGGTATGATTAGGAGGGTTTTTTAACCAAGTTTTTATCGATTTTTGTGTACATTCAGGTACTGGTAAGAGTAAAACTATTGCTGGAATAGTGGATAATTTATTTGATAAATTACATGGTGACAAGAAAATTCTTTTGTGTGTACCGTCGAACAATGCATGCGATGAATTACTAAAAGAAAATACTTGAACACTGTGGCAATAAGCTTAAACAAAGTAAATATTCTATTGTTTAACACGTTGATTATAATTTAAAATAACGTTTTTTATTTTAAAGAGCATGTTGTCCGCGTTGGTTGCCGACCGCCAGAATCCAAAGAGCTCCGGGACTATTTTTTAGACTACCGAGTAATATCAGAATTAGTTGTTAAATTGAAAGCCAAACAATCGCTTAATCGCAGTACAATTGAAAAAAATTCAATATAATCTATTGAAAAGTACCAACGTTATTATATCAACGTTGAACTATAGTGCATCATCTCGTTTATGATTGCTGTATGACGAGCCGACAGGGTCTCATTTCTAATTGTTGACGAAGCATATCAGACTTCAGAAGGTAATATTGTCTGTGTTTTTTCTCTTTTATTAAATTTCTTGATTCTGTTATACTTTCAGTTGATTTGTTAATACCATTTCGATATGGTTGTAGAAAGGCGTTGTTAGTGGGTGATCCGAAGCAATTGCCATCATGTGTGTTGAGTGAAGCCACTAAATCATATAATTTATCTCAGTCTTTATATTTCCGTTTAAATACAATATTCGAAAAAAAAACATTTCAATTAAATACTCAGTATCGAATGAATCCAGAAATTGTCTCATTTTCAAATAAAGAATTTTATGGTGGAGAATTGAATAATGCAAAGAGCGTTTTCTCTCAACCAAATGATTAATTCAAACCTTTTATTCTATTATAATATTGAAACAGTCGAACATTCTCACGACTACGCAAGTTCGGCCTATAATCCAGTGGAAGCAGAAGTAGTGGCTAAATTTTGTCGTCGATTGAGATGGTAATGATGATACAACACTTTGTATTCAACAACGTATAGGTGTCATTGCGCCTTATAAAGGACAGATGCACGTATCGGAACAAGAATTCAAAAACTATGATATGTCGCACGTTGAAATTGGCTCAGTTGACAGTTTTCAAGGAAAGGAAAAAGATTTTATTTTAATATCGTGTGTACGTAGTAAGAATATTGGGTTTTTGGACGATAGAAATCGTCTTAATGTCATGTTAACTCGAGCCAAATACGATCAATATATTTTTGGCAATGTCACGCATCTAGTCAATATGATCTATGGAATACGTTAATTAGTAATGCCAAAGAACGGGGTTTATTTGCAACCATTGATCCAAAGTCAGATTCAAAAATTATTGTTAGAAGTATTATCCCCACAAAAGAAATCAAACATTCTAGTGGCGAACATCAGCAATAGCGTTTTTAGTTTTTTTAGCATATATTGTTGTTATAATTAAGTACATTTCAACGCAGAATATAGGAATAAAATTCTATTCTTTTTTTCAAGTGCACTAGATAAACTGGCAATTCAAAAATTTTCTTTTTCGAGTTTTTTTGACATGGTTAGATAGAGCTCGTCGAGATACGTAGAATAAAGTGAATACACAGTTTTGGATTTTTAATGGAGAAGTTTTCAAATAATTATTTTCTAAAAATGGGCAAAATGAATGGAAAATTTCAATAATAAGCAAAACTTTCCCGTTTAACTTTCTTCTAAAACTCCAAACCTGTGTTTTCCACATTCACCATTTAATGTTGACTATAAAAAACTAGCTTTGAGAATATTAAAAGTTAAAATGAGCTTAAAACGAGCAGGATGCGAAAAGGGCTTCCGATTCGCATTGCAAACTCAACTAGTTTCAGGTGTGTGAGGGTGAGGGTTAGTCTTTTCTTTCATGTGAAAGATAAGCTTTATTAATATAATTTAGAATTTCATCATTTTTCGAGACGAAGATACATAGAGCAACTAATACCCGAAGCTAAATTATAATTTTTAAACCATCGAACATTTTCTTGATCAAAATGAGTTACAAATTTTTTGTTAATAAATTCTTAAATCAATTTGGTCGTTGACTCATCCAAATAATCATTTTTATTCAAATCAAACGGAACTTTTGTCCAAACAACAAAATGGGTTGTTTTCACCAAACGCGTAGGGAAAACCATTTAACAATATTTGATGATCATCAGAACTATCGAATAGAATCGGGCTCAGCGGTTTAATTAGTAAAGGCCAGCCGAGACGTTGTTCTAAAAGGTATTTTTCCATACTACATACTATCATACACTCATTTCTAAAAGTTTAATATCTCGTGAACCTCACATGTGACATTTTTCAAAATTCTGAGAAAAGGAAGGACGTGTTGTAAAGTTCATCGTAGTATTCATCAACTCGCATTGTGAGTGGCGTCGAATCCGATAATTTTGCTGAGATAGCAAAAATCATTTTTCTCGGTTTCTGGATCAACTGTTACATCAAGAAAAGGCATATTTTTACATAAAGCGACGAGCTCTATAAAACTAGACTGATCTTAAGGATCAGGATAACAACAACTTTCGTAGAATATAGGACATTCCTATTGTACAATGGAATTTATATATTAATTTTTCTTGCTATGATTAATCTTAGAAAAAGGAATCAAATGCCTGTCATTTTGTGGTATTCATATTCGGTAATACATTTTAACATACAATGATGAGTGCAAAACAACTATCATCTCTGTTGAGCTTTTAAGTACATTATATTGCGTTGGTTAATTATGCTGAACTATCGTTTCGTCGCTATTAAAATCCCATGTGATCATATGTGCTACTAAGCGTTGAACAGACTCTAGACGAGCACTGTTGTTTGCAAAGTCACTATCATATAATGCACATGCATAGCCCATCTTACTCAAAATACAAGTTTTATAGATTTGAAGCCGGACATGGGCAGATGCCAAGGCGTTGTCTGCAAATCAAAGCGGGGTCTTCTACGTGCTGAATCGACCTCAAGTCGTAACTTATCGTGAAATCTAAGGATCCAAAAGGTCTGAAAAGTCCTTGGCCGTCTATACTAGTATGTCACGATTCCATTATTTATTTCAAAATTGGTTTAGATTCAAATCATCTTATTAAAACAGTTAATTTATTAGAAGCAGTACTAATATGGGCAGGTCTACTTCATTTGTTCAACATTGATTTTTATAAAGGGGCAAAAAAGACTAATGAATTCTCTGATTGGATTTTATTACAAAAAAAACGTGGTTAGTGGTGAAAATGCTGTTCGAACGTTAATTAAAAATTAATTTTGCATGTTTGTTCGTCTGACACTTATGTCATTTGTGATTTCTGCCTTTCTTTGTTCTCTCCTCAACCATGTAGTTGAGTTGAATTATGATTGATTACTTCATTGAAGATTATATTTTCTAAAAAGCACTAGCTAGCTCAACTCTCTCTAATCTGGTGTAAAACAGATGTAAAATAAGTTCGTTCTTCTGTAAAATAAGTTTGTTCTTCGCCTTTTTGGTAGTTCTTAAAAAATGAGTTCGTCAGAGAACAATTTGTCCCCTATAGAGATCAAAAATCTGAAGAACAAAAATGTTGTTCTTCAGAAAGTGTAATCTTTATCGTTCGTGTTCTTCAGCGAACACAAAACTCGTTCTTCAGTTTTTTGAAAGTTCTTGAAAAACCTGTTCTCTGCAGAACAAGTTGTCCGCTATAAAGATCAAAAAACTTAAAGAACAAAGATTTTACTCTTCAGAGAACTGAAGATTCTTGTTCCGCAAACCTTTGGAGAACACATATATGATGTCTATAAGAGACAAATGAAGATCATTCTTTTTGTTTTTTGAAGAACACAGATTTTTAACAGTGTAGATCTTTTCCCCTGAATCTCAATAAAAGCTCTTCTGTTCTCCAGCCGCGATCTTTCATTTTTTTTCCTATCCAGTTACTACTCCAATGGGCTTTTCTATACTACATACTATATGACGCCTGTGTTTAGTTTTTACTTTTTCATTAAGAAATAAATGTGGAAAGCATTTCCATCCCATTGATCAAAAAAAAATCAACAATAATTTCGTAAAGAAGCATAGTAGGAAAAAAAAGAAAAATACATTATGGGATTCAATCCATAACTAGGACTCAACGCACATTTTTCCATGGCTCAGACTCGGCTTCGAAAACGTAGTCGCTCGTTCACCTCTGTTACAAAGAAAAAACAACACTGTTCTGGGAGCACAAAAATGATGTTCTAAACAGCAGTTTTCTTAAACTATGTCGAGACTTCTAAACTACGAATAATATATCATGTACTAAAATTCTGATTCTAACTGCTATCCAGGTTATTGTAAACTAATTTGGTTAAGATTGTTTAACAGTTTGTTGAATTCGTTTTAATACACCGACTGGTTTCTCGCTGGAGGCATCCATGGCAGATAAAATCATGTCAGTAACACTCGCAGGCATCATGGATAATGGGAAAAAAAAGTATGGGGATTGCCATCCAGGACGATAGCGAATATTTGGCTTTGTACTAGAAACAGCATGTTGTAATGCTCGAACGACGAGTATTGGATCTTGTGCATATTTTAAGAAGATGTTCTTTTTATTCATTCGATCATTCAGTTTTTTATTATAATACGCCTCGCCCCATCGTTCTTTCGTATCACTAGCTAAATTAGCCCATACCTCAGTCATCGCCTCCGCATGTCCTTCGGTTATTGCTGTCCTCATCATTCCTGGTTCAATGATCGATACTTTCAACCCCCATGATGCCATTTCTCGACGTAAACAATCGGAGAAAGCTTCTAATGCATACTTACTCGCACAATATGGTGACATATTGGATGTAGCCAAGTAACCAGCGACAGAACAAATATTAACCACTCGATTACCAGATTGGTTCACTAATAGTGGTAAAAATGTTTTTGTCATTGAGACATGGCCAAAGAAGTTCACTTCCATTGTGTCACGAAACAGTTTCATAGATATCCAGTCGATCGGTCCACCTTTGCCTATGCCAGCATTATTGACTAACGCATATAAATTACTTGTTTTATTTTTAACTAATTCAAATACATCATCAATATCCTGCTGTTTTGTTATATCTAATTTGAACACTGTTGCTTTCGATGATAATTCTTTCACGAGTTGTTGTGTATTTGAATAAACTCCTGCCAATACACTATAGCCTTGACGATCTAATTCTTTTGCAAGTATATTTCCGAAACCAGTATCACAACCACTTATCAACACATATTTCCCAGTTGGATCGACTAATGGTGCAGGAAAAAAATGTTCATATATTTTGTATGTGATAAATAAAATTAAAATAAGAATTACTATCATGAACAACATAACAAATTGAAATCTAAAAAATATAAATCAATTTACGTTGGCTAGACGATTACATATGAATCCAAAATAAAGAAATTAGGTTATGAAGAAAGAAATAAAGAAAAAAAGTACACTTCGTCAAACATCTGTTTGAAAGAGAGAGAAAATAATTTTTTCACCGTTTAATAGAGAAAAAAAATGCTGTAATTTATTCTTACATGTATGAAAGACTCGTTTGAGAGTTTCGAATTGATCAATAAATTTACAGGTGATACTTGGAAGTCACATACTCAATTGGTATGTTAATTTGACGGAATATTGAAGTAAGACAAAAGATAATTTATACAAAGAAAAGTGAAGTGTTAACTGTGAAATTTATTTAATGGGTGGAACAGGTTAAATTACCGATTGTTGTGATGATTTTTATCCTAAGTTAAAGTTGCTCAAAAAGTTTCATGATGATACAAAAAGAGTAGAAAATTTTATATAGATTTGATTTTTGTCTTCCTTTAAAGTTCATTTTATGCAGCAATAAAAATACTGAAAGGCGCAAAAGATTACCTTGATTCTAAATTTTTCTATCATAAAATGAAATTTTCAGACAGCGTATTTCTGTAATGAAAATCATCTAAAATTTATATGGCCTTTTGCCAACCACTTTTGCTCTCATTCATCTAGAGCAAAGCATTTTAATTCCAGTACTTGTTATTAAAACAACTCAGTCTCTGGCAAGAAACGTCTTTTGTAAAGTTGTGTATCTTTTAGTATACAAAAAAATTTGTTGAAGTTATACTTTCAAGAAGAGCCTTCACAGAAGTACTGTCACATTGATCCAAGGTGCCTTTTCTGATGTTTCGACTTTTATAAACAGACACAAACAAGTATGCAAGAACAAATACACTACCAGATACACGGACAAAATTCTTTATTTCATCAGCAGAACTAAATTTTCGAACTAAATATAACCAGCTAAAAAAGTAGTTTGAAAATTTGCTGAATGTACGTTTGAGCAATTTAGTTTTTTTTGCACCTTTCAGTATTTTTATTGCTGCAAATGCTTGTCTTGAAAGGAAGACAAGAATCAAATCTACACAAAAATTTCTACTGAGTTTTGAGTTTTGATGAGCTTTTCCTCTTTTCCTTGCATTCAAGCAAATTCAAACTTTACACAAATATTTTTGTATACATATTACTACTTACATCAAAAGATTAGCATTTGAATAGAACTCATTTTAGGTTTTCGAAACAACGCTTGACTCTTAAGAAAATTATATTTTTCTAAATTTACCAGCTTTTTTGATCAAAGTACATTACATATTTGAAATCAGCTCACGGATACTTTCACAGAGTTTTATAAAAAACTTAAGTCAAAAAAGACAAAGAACTTTATGGACTTAAGTTTGACTTAAGTTTTTTTTATAAAACTAGTTCCTGGTATAAAAGTGCGTGTACATGTATGACTCAGATTAATTATCGTGTTTTTTGAAGAAAAAAATAATCCTAAACGTACTTTTTGTTTGTTCACAGCAGACCTATCTATAAGATCTACTTTTTGAACAATACCTTTCCTCGAACTGATCCTCACAAAAACTACGTGACTTGAAAACGGGCAAGATCTGACTATGACTTTTCCTATGACAGTTATAATTTAAAAAATCTTAGCAAAACTCTAAATAAATAAATATAGTAATGTAATAATAATGCTCCAATAAATCTTAAACATAAAGTAACCTTAGATTCGTGCTACACATGAAAAGTAATTCATAACTAAGCGTTTTTCACTGCTCCTAAGTGTAGCTAGATGATATTATCACTATGAACAAAAAATTGGCTATTCTGTCAGTCCCTCATGAGATTTCCAGTAATAATATAAGACTTTTACCAACATAAATTTATTTATGGTAAAATTGAATGTTTTGAATAATCGATAATGATAACAATTCCAAAAGAAAAGGTTCGCTCAGAAAAAAATGTTATGTTTACATTCACTAGTCAAAATATCCAGTAAAACTCGCTTCTATAGTCGAAAATCGTAATATTCTTACTTGAATCTTTTTAATATTATTGAGCTAAATAGAAAGAGTATTTGTAAAAATAACATCTACAATTTTCTGGAACGAAAAATCGTCCATAATTGCACCTTACGATATTTTCTTGAAAAATAAAATAAAATATCTATAATTTATCAATGAAAGTATTATTAGCGTATGGTCTAAAATTTTGATTTCATAACTGTTACAATTCTGTTGGTAAATACTAGAAAAAAATGGTATTAATAAATTAAATTACTTTGCAACATTATATTATAATTCTTACCTTTTTCCTTAAGACCTTTACCAAAGTTTCTCACACAAAGTATACTCAAAACAAATGAGGCTACATGTGCTAGTAAACTAGCTCCAACACAAACGTACAATACGGTTAATAATGGAATCAAATCAGTCTTTTGAGGGTTAGATGTTGACTGTAAGAGTGGCGGTCGCATGCTAGATGTTGATGTTGCAGGTGAAGGTGAGGGTTTTGGATTTAAATTTTTATATTCTGTGATAGCCTAAAAATCTATTCATTATTTATGCCAAGAATAAGATTGAACAAACATTGCATACTTCATAGATTTGCCAACCGACATGTACCGGTTGAAATAATGATAATAAATAAAAAACAATAGCTAGTTTTATATTTTCTAATTGAACCTAAAAGTGGAAGTAGAATGAGTAGAAAGTTAGAAATTATTTACATTTAGTTATATAGTACCTACCATTAGTACAGCGATACCAAGCCAAATAAGAACTAACGGTATACCAATAGCTAGTATAATTGTATCAAGAGTTTTGTTAATTCCTCTCATATCCAAAATCAAAGTTGAAATCTAAATTAATTTATCTTATTTTGTAGATATCATTTTTTTTAAACAAAAACTTACAGTTAACATGGCACTAATACGAATAACACATGCAAAACTGTAGTAAATTTGTAATGGTCTACGTGCACCTTGAAAAGCACCAAATAATCTAGAATGAAAAAAAGACAATTGTATTGACAGTAAATAGTATTTTTTTGTCTACAAACCGTTTAGCATATTCATTTCGTCTATAATCTCGTATAACAAACATGGTTAATGGAATGAAACATGCATTAAAAAATATTGTAAATATAAGTCGTGCCTAAAAAATTTTAGTTAAAATAATTTTTAAATTATTTAGAAATAATTAGATACTTACTAGACGAATATTATATTGATCCTTTACTGATCTACGTTTGAAAAAATGTATGACAACATAAGTAGTTAATAATATAGCGCTCAAAAAAAATGCTATGATGTCTAATAAACGTTGACATAATATACCAGTTATTAAAAATATTGTTAGAAATATTGAATGAACGATCAATAATATTCCATATGTTGTATCATCCTCTGACGATTCATTTGTTAAACGTATTATTGTCAAAGCATCTGTTATAATTACTGCAATAATTCCTAATGCCAAAAATAAATATTCATACCATCGTATATTTCCAAAACTTCGTTGCTAAATATTTAGATATGAATAGTTAGTTTTGAGATTAAAATAACGTTCTCGCATACCGCTCCACAACATCCCACTTCAATTGCACGATTTGTTGTGTCAGGGAATGTAACACTTGGTGGTTGCATGTCCTTATGAGTAATCAAACAGCAAATAAATGATATTATTATGTGAACAATTACATTATTCTAACTGAAGATAGAAGCAAAGAACTTAACTTAACGGTTCACTAATATAAGGATGGACGATGAGAAACGTTTAATATATATAGTGTTTTAGTTAGTCACCAGAAAGTGAGCAATGCTTAGTAGATGTTAATATTTTTTGATGTTAAGTAACGTGAAACTTACGATAGACGATAAAAAAGCAAGCAAAAGCAATTAACTACAAAACAATGAATAGATACACCAATAGATTCTTACTTTCCGTTTTAAAATCCTGTGGTCGACTTTATCAAACAGGCGCACGAATAAACAAAACTTTTTTCATTTGTCTTTTTATACACGTTAAAAAAGTGTTTCTGTGAGAACAGAACAAAAAATCCTTATCTTTTCAAAACACCGATGACGATGAGTATATATAAACATCATAGTGTTAATAATAGTTATAAGTGCTGTTTCCTCAATTCTTGAGAAGTGAATGAGAATCAAGCCGTGTTAATTTGCTATACAGTGTTGTAACACGTTTTAAAAAGAAACAAGTTGCAAAGCCAAGTTGCAGCAAGAAGATAAATTTTAAAACTACAAGAAAAAAGAATTTATTAATGCAGTAACAAATCAATTTCATACAGTTTCAGACATATCTTCGCTAATTAAAGGTTCAGGTTTAGAGTTATCCATCATAATTTTTCAATACTGTCTGGAATAGAAAATTATATCATCTGTTCATCAATATCAATTTTTCATCTAAAGTAACCAATGAAAATAAATATGTGAAAATTATCTATCTTTTAAATAAAAAAAATATCATCTTCAATTAGTTGAATTTAAATAAGTTACGAGAAAAAAACCGATGATAAATACAAAAAGCAATAACAAATTTCGTACAAAAACAGTAGAAAATACAATAACTACAAAAAAGAAATGCATCATTCTGTGTAGTTGCAAAATGAGAAAAAAAAGACATGGCACAACAGAAATACGGCGTAAAGTAAAAAATATGGCTGATTCCTTCACCACCCTATGAAATAATTTGAAGTGGCTAATGATCGTTAGAATGCGTTAAATATGAACATAATCAAATGTTTCATATTTAACGCATTTAAACAAGTTAAATTTCCAAACTTAACGCGGTCGAACGTGATTTCGGAAAAGAAATGGTAAAAACTGCGTTCACACTCGTTTAACTTCTAAATTTAATGTGTTAGAGAAGTGGATTAAATCGTTAAATGTCTCATATTTAACGCTTTTTAACGATCGTTAACCGTTTCAAATTATTTCATGGGATTATAAATGTGTTACATAATAAAGAACAGTTCGTTTTTTTACTGTATGAAAGGAATGAACGTAATGATTTTATTTTGAAACAAAATATTATTATTGTTGTCTATATACTCGATGATGACTCGACTGATTATATGGTGATTGTTGTTGTGACTGAGAGCCTTTCATTCCTAAATCATTCGTTCTTAATAAATCGTTATATTTCAGTAAACACGCACAATTACATCCATATAAAGGACATTGATGATGTAATAAAAACCAATGATACAAATGATGAGAATGTGAACTATGACCACATCCGGGACACAACGAAATTGGTCCATGAATTGGTTGATGACATATCGAACATGCATGTAAACGATTAACCATTGTTGGTGTAGGAAATTTAATTGGGTATATAGTGGATGTTGATGATGGTGTTAATGGAATAGTAGTAGTATGTGTTTGTAAACAAAAATTATTCACTTGTAACAAATAGGATGAAGTTTTATGTAATAAAGATAAACATTGTGTACGTTTATAAAAATATTTCCAACGATGTAATATAGATGAATATCCGTATAATAAACAATCATACTTAGACGATGATGAATCCATATAAGGTGTTTTAAACATTGTCATTAAAAACATTGCTGATGATTGTATATCACCTTCGGAGCGATAAAACTCAACCATATGCTCAATTAGACCTAAGTAAAAAAGGGAAACTTTCTTTTTCCTTTTTTTTAACGTCTCATATGTAGAAAGTGGTACTACCTCTTGCAATAGGTGATGAATACCATTCTTTTGTAGGTCGTTTTTGTTCATCAACACATAATAGAAATGATAATAATTTCCAACATTGTGCCAGATCTTGTTTACCCATAAATGATGTTATTTGTTGATTCCATGTACACATTTCACCAGTATGAGAATAATCAACTGTATAATCACCGGCTAACTTTTGACTAATGGGTAATATTATTCCCAAATCATAGATGACTGCAACAGGTCCATCACGACGTAAGGTACGTTGCTGTTGCTGTTGTTGTTGTTGTTGTTGTGAAGGCAGGTCGTAACCAGTCGACGTTTTATAGTGATACAAACGCTGATGACTAATATAATCAGTTGGAGCCGAAAATATATTTGTTGGTGTTTGTTTTTTGCTAATGTTTACAACATCTGTTGACAGAGAAGTGTGTTTATGTTGTTGATGACTAAAATTAGAGGGTTCTGTTTATTGCTAATCAAATTTAAAAACTTTTTGTTTTAAAATCGCGTTTTCATTACAGAACAGTTCACGTCTTGGAAACTTGAACTGGGTCTTATTATACGTGCAGTCCTCGAGACTGTCTTTCCCTAACTTTTCTTCTCAACACAGTTGAGAATATACATGTCAGATGTCAACAAAATAATTCGGTGATTTAATCTTCAGTGGTGGTCATCCATCCACTTATTAATCGACGCCCTGACGCTTAATCAGAGGAAAGACAAATTTATTGTCACAATTTCTCTATGAATCAAATTCAAGTTGCCAAGGCTTGAGCTCTTCTGTAACGACAGAGTGTTTTTAAAACAAAATTTATTTAGTGAAAAAATGTACTTACATTGGTTCATCTGTACTTGAATTTCCTCTACTTTTGGGATTTTGCCCAGTTAAACTCGTTGATCTTGTCGGTTGTCTGCTCATAACTAACATGAGATTATTTGTTGTTTGACTCTGTGGTATATTTGATCGTTTATTCATTATCGGAGTAAGTGAACGTTGCTCACTGATGTTAGTAACTTCATCACCACCCATTAATGTTTGCTGAGTGGGTGGTCGAGAACCTATTTGTTTATAAGATGATTTACCAAAACAAACAATATATATTCCTGAAAATCGAGCACCACACGTTCGAGCATTCAATTGAATTTGTGCGGATGTTGTGGACATTGATGTATTTAAAAAATAGGTATAGGCGGCTGAACTTGACTGTGTAAAATTTGTAGTATTCATTAAACTACTATTAGTACGAGTTGATTGTACATTATTATTGTTATCACCTTCCAACACGCCAATGTCGACACCTACAATAAAACATAAAATATAAATAGTAAGTTCTACTTTACTATACACTTACCTGTTGTGCTGCCAATACTTGTACTAATTAAATCTTCATCATTCGCGATCTGTTGTAACATCTGTGGAATTCGTAAATGAGTGTGTTTAATGTTTACTGTCTGCTGTTGTTGTTGTTGTTTATTATAATTAAATAGGAATTGGGCTAACGTTTGTAAACATGCATCTAAACATATTTGTCCTTGATATAAACATTCTTGTGACTTATCGTCTAATATTTGTTGAATTTTTGATTGCAATTTGATGTCAAATTTATCAGGTTTAAATTTTGTTACCATATTTGCAACAATTGGATAATTTTTAGATAAAATTAGTTGCAATTGAAATATTTTTTGTGTACTACCATATTTGCATAGTACAGTACATGATCGTTTGGCAATATCATATGATTGAACAGTTATGTAATTGCCATATGTATCGTTCAATGATGATAGTTCCGATGCGACAGATAATACATCATTATTCTGTTTATCATCATTATTCAAGAGATATTGTTGTTGATCAACCAATAGATGTTCGCTAAAAATGAAACAAGAAAAATTTGTATAAAACAAAGATGAATATATTGTATGTTTCTACCTTGTTTGCGTTGTTGATTTTTCTTTACTATTATCTGTAATACTTCTGTCGGAAGATATTGATGTTCTTGCCGACAAAGGTTTAAATTCTCCCAATTCTTCACCGTCATCATATTTTATACTTCCATTTATATATTCACTGATAACATCCATACCCGAAGAATATATCGTTTTTCTTACTGGTACACCTCGACGTACATTTATTTCTTTCTTTGGTTCATTTATTATTGGATATATGTCTTTTATGCTTGTTGCTATTGCTGCCTCTTTGCTATTATTGTCCATATTTTGCATGTAATCATATAATGTCATCTTAAATCTATCATCTATTTCAGATATTCTTAATTTATCATCTTTTGACCATGATACAATGAGAAATGGTACTTGTTTTGAATGATCAAGTGAATTTCTTGGTGATTGTGGTTCACCTCTAATACGATTTAAATGATCACTTTGATTATGATAATGTGATTCTGAATCCTGTTTACATATTTGTAACATTGCAGTACTTGTTATATATTGAAAATCTAAAATTAACGATTGTTGATTGTTGATTATTCTTTGACATCCATCAAATTGTCGTAATTCACTGACGCCACCACCATCGTCATCTGGTTCGACATTAATTTGCCATGGTAAAAATCCGTATTGTTGTTGTTGATGATTATAGACACTAGTTAGAAATAAACTGGGATATGGTGTTGAACGTATTTTTGATAAACATTGTGAAGAGTCTCCTAATGGTTGTGATTCATAGAGTGGATGAGTAGATGATTTAATAGTTAATGGATCATATAAACGAATGATATTATTGATGGATAATGTTAACAAACTACCAGATTTTCGCCAATCAATGTCAATCAGACGACTTGTGTGTTCATAATCACCCAAAAAAGCAGAAGGTTGTCTTATATCGTACAAACGAACACATTGATCACACTGAACGGCTATAGTCGTAGAAGAAGGATCCGATTTAATACGTCTAACGGTATAAGGAGTATTCAATATTATGTCTACCGATTTAGTACCACGATGAGGTTTCCGTGTATCCCATACATGCACAGTGCCATCTAATGAGCCTGTCAATATACTGGCACTATCATCAACAGAATAACATACTGTACTGATTGGACGCTAAAAAAATGAGAAAAAAGATGAACATTATTTGAGGATAATACTAGCCTTACTATTTATTAACCTGATGGTCCGTATATAGAATAGTACTCGTTGAAGTAATTCTCGATTGATCTAGCGTGTAACAGCTAACAGTTCGATCGATAGCTACACAAAATTCTGTTGTATGATCTTTTTTACGATTCCATTCGATAACCGGTTTGTTAACATTACATGGATCGAACAATGGAGAACGATGTATATTGCTCGTTGATAAACAATCACTTAGTTCAAAATTCATAAGTATAAAACAATGATTTCCAACAAAAATAAATTTTGTTTGACTCTCATCCATAGTAAACGAAAATATATCCGCATTTTTCATGCATTCTGTTTGTATTGGACGACTAAACATTTTTTTCTTTAATAACGAAAAAATCTAAAGCAGCAAGAACAGGATGGACTATTATCTACTTACAACAAGACAAATTATATGTCCACAAGCAAACAAAATTGTTAAGCTCCACAAAACATAATAAAATATTTTTTCTGATGAAAAAAATTCTTCTCAAACAAAATTATATACTGCAACCTTGAAGCTATCTTAATATGCCCGTCATTATGAAAAATCTTCGTAGATTCATTTGATACAATTTCTTCAGAAATCACATTTGTTTATAACACCGTTGCTTTGCTCTTAAAATACAAAGTTTCTAGCATTCGTTCAGAAAAATTAATTCATTAAATTTTCTACTACAACTGAGAGTTTCAACCGGTGGAGAAAATCAATAATGTTGACATTTACAAAACTAGTACAGTCTCTTCAATTCTTCATAGATAAAGACATAAAGTTTTATTCAAAATTAAACACTGGTTCATTGTTTGACATGATCTTTCACATCTGTAAAATGGTATAAAATGGTTTGTGACAAAAAATGTTAAATGTCTTTGTGATGGTAAAAAATATGTGACGTTTAAAAGAATCTTAGTACTACTACTACTGAGGAAGTGTAAGAAGAAGAAAAAAAATTTGTGAAGATAACCGGAGGTCATTGAATAGATATATTGCACACAAAAATGATAAATAAAACAAATGAATTTAATTTTGTCGTTTATTTGATTGCCAAGTGTTCAATAATATATTTGCCATATATAATGTAAACGCATGTATTTGAACAGTTATTATTAAGAATATATACCATAGAATTAACAATGGAACACCATAAAATGTTTTTTTAATTTCAGATGTTGCTCCTACTGTTCGATATGAAAATAAATCAGATAAATTAATAATTATCGTTGACATAATTGTTCCAAGACCAAAAATAACGGTACCACGAAAAAATAATTTGAGTAAGAATAAATTATTTCGGTGTAACGATAAAAGTCCACATAATGATGCTAATAAACTTATAAGCCATATATATTCCCAAAGATGTGGTTTCGGAATTGAATGAGACGAGGTAGATGTCGATAATAATTGTGTATGATATAAAATTAATTGACTAATAATAATAAATCCAAGTAAAAAATGTAAATAGATTAATAAACGAAGACGAAATTTTGTTTCCGTACTAAAATAGAAAAGAATATGAATTTATCATAAATATATTCACTAGTTAAAATAAGATCGTTTCCTATTCTTAATCTATCATCCATCATCGCTCTTTTTTTCTCCTCATGTTTAACGATTAAAAATAAGTTTTCTACGAACTATTTTGATAATTCTCTAGATTCTAATTACTTTCTGAATTCTTGATAAAGTATATTCAAATTAAAATAAAAAAAAAATTTTTCTTCAAGCTATTGTAAAGTATTTTAAAATATTTTTCAATAATCGAATAGTGTAAAACGATGTTAAATGAGTGTCTGAGAGAATAAAATCAGTTTTGTCTACCTGTAGTAATAGTACATTATAAATAGATTAAGTAGCTGTTTGTAAGATCAATGAAATATGTTTGGTCTTGAATATAAAAATAATAACTAATGTTCTTTCGTTCTGTCCAAAAAGAATATCTTATTTAGTATTTCCAGGTGTTTGTTACATTGATAGATGGAAAATAACATATTCCTAACTGATTGGAATTGTCTATTAGATTATATTACATATATAAGAGAAAAAAAATAGTAATAAAGAAAAATCGCACTTAGAACATTTGTATTAACTTACAAGATAGTACAAAAATATACTACTAAAATTCCTTTTATTGTTAAAAAATCATTTTCAATCAAAACAATCTGTCATAGATGAGATTTACATCTTAATTTTGTTTTGACATTGATGATTTACAGAATACGAAAAATGTTTTTTCTTTAAAAGAATAGATCACTATGATTTTAGTCAGAAACTATCGAAAAAATTCTTCATTTTTCATTTCTTAACAATTAGTTCTGAATGACAAATATCTTTTTTGGATGAAACATAATTTTTGCTGTAGATAATTACACATTAAATGTTCATTACGACTATAAGATTTTCTTGTATCTTTCTATCAGCCAGATTCTTTAAAAATCCATCACGAACTGTGAAAGTAGCAATTTCTGAATCTTTTAACTCTACACAAATATGTTCATTGATTCTGGTAATTAGTGCACGAATTTGATATTCTCTACAAATCAATAGTTTCAAAAATTGTTACTTTCAGAGATTCGTGATAGATTTTCAGATATCTCAGTTTACAGTCGGAACGAACTTCAAACTGTATTTTTTAACTGAAAATGTCCGTGGATACAAGAATACTTTCAGATAATTCATGAAATTTTACACATAATAAGTCTTTATTCCGCTTATCTATCTGAAGTTTTCTTCAGATTTATTCTTCTGGTTTTATTCTTAAACTAACGGGTGCGCCAGAATAAATGGCTGTCTCAGTATTTTGACCATAACTTAGTCTGGATTTGTTTCCGATACTTGATGTTTTTTTTTAAAAGATACACTGCGAAATACTCTACAAAATCATACCTAAACTATAATTTCAGAACTTCAATCAAGAAACCTAAGCCAATGAGATGAAAAAGTCGAAAAAAATGAAAACTTTCTAAACTCAAAAATGATTTCTTGTGTTAACGTTTTGAAAGTAACGTCGAAAAAACTGCATTAGCCATTTTGTAGCCTTGACTTCGCTATCTTTTAGCTACACTTCAAATTTTTTCACATCAAAAGCCACAGTGAAAAATAGTTTTTCTATCAGTTGTCACGTATTTTTTCATTATTTTTTTAAATTTTAGGTATAGTAGTGCTTTCAGTAAAAGCCCCATACCTTCATCAAAATAAAAGCTTTTTCGGTCGGGTTTGCTTTGTTTTGATCAGATTTCTCTTCTCTATCTAACTACAGAATCAAACTTCAATCATCCTTTCCTTTTTTTGATTGCTGGAAGCACATCAAGCACGCTTCTTGAGCACATGGCTGGAAGGTTGTTAACTTTTGACGTATTTTTGTATGTCTGTGCTTCATTCTGGAGCACACCATCTGCTCTAAAAAAGCTTTTCTAAAGACTGTGAGAAAGAGCACATTTGAAAGTACCAAACATAAACTGAATTCTCACTTTTGCTACACTTTTTAGCGGAGATAGTAGCAGGAGAAAAAGTTCAAGTCGAAAAAAATATTCAGTTTAGAAAATTTACATTTTTTTCGACGTTCATCTAATTGGCTTAGGTTTCTTGATTGAAGTTCTGAAATTATAGTTTAGGTATGATTTTGTAGAGTATTTCGCAGTGTATCTTTTAAAAAAAACATCAAGTGTCGGAAACAAATCCAGACCAAGTTATGGTCAAAATACTGAGACCGCCATTTATTCTGGCGCACCCGTTATAACAGAAAACTTCAGATAGATAAGATTTCATAAGTTCTGAACAGAAAAAATGTAAAATAAGGAGAGTAAATAAAGTATAGCTACTATTACGAGAAATAGTCACTGACAAGTTTGCACTAGTTATGTCATCGACGTACGAATATGACAAATTTTTAATCAAAATCATTTTTGTTCATACCTGACTTTGTAATGCGGCGCAATTTTCTCACGATGAATGAAATCTCTCCCATCTGTGCCAGCTACTCTATTTTGGTTTGGAATCATTTGATTAGAAGATATCTAAAATTAATAATGTCAATTCTTCAGCTTTAGTTTTCAACACACGCATATGAAATAGCGAGAAGTGTCAAATTAATACAAGTTTTATTCTAATTAAAAACATTTATCCTCTCTTTACCTGTTTTTATTATTTCCTAATGTGATTATTTCATTTTAACAGCAAAAAAAAAAATATATGGCTAGATCATGTATCGATTTTACAAACCGAAAATCTTCTGTCATGTAATAAAAATTAGTCCTTATCGATAAAGACAAAAGCATAAAGAGAGTTTTTATTTGTGCACATTGAAAAATCACTTTTGAAATATCAAAATAAACTTCATATAAAATACAAACAATACAAATATATTTTTCACTCATAATTATTATACAAACATGTTTTATTTTCAAAAAATTAAACCAATAAATATCTCTTATTTCACGTTTGGCTCTGAGGACGATTAATTTTGATATTTGTGATACACTTCTCAAACATTCTCAATTTTCACTATCAAATTCAGTCGTTTTATCTTCTTTCATTTTTGTCATTGTCAGTCATGGATTATAATCATGTTCATATTTGGTTTCTAATAATATTTGATCATTCATTCTTTTGTAAAACTCATCGAATTTTACATTATGTTTATTAATCGCATAGAAATATTGTTTTTGTTTGTTGACTTCGATGCAAGAGAAGTCAGAACATTGTTGGCAAGTTTGATTATCAAAATCTTGGCCATCACTATCTATTTACACAAAATTTCAAGTTACTACCTTGTATGAGTCTAAATACTGGATTAAATAATTATAGCCATTGACACAATCGGCTTTTAATGTTTCAAACATTAGTCATTCGTTTATTCGATTCAATTGTTCTCAATAATCTGAAATCATTACCAACATCATTAAACGTTTACCTGCAAGATTGTTGTTTAAACTTCTTTGTCATTAATTATTGAGTTATCACTTCGATTTTACGAGTACATTTCCCCATCATTTTGGAAATCATTAAGATCTATAGCAAACACTAAATATGTATTTTCATTCAAGTCGATATTAATATATTAGAATATTAAGCCCTTTCTATTATTCAACTTAATCAGAGGAAAATTTACTGAAACAAGCACGTCCGCTCAACAAAGCGGCGATGAAAAATATTCAGTTACTGGAAGTGGAACAAGAAGGAAACAGGAAGAGCATTAAATAATAAACAAATGGGAGTCTCAACAACAGAAAAGCATCGAGTATCGCCCAGTGCCTCTCGGTGATTAATTTACTGATCGACGCATATATATTGAGATAAATGTTTCTTTCGATGCAACTAGATAGCATTGCCCATGAATTGATATTTTCATCGGGAAGAACTCGGTGTATTCAAATGTATTGGGCAATACATCGACCGATACTCCAGCTAAAGCATCTAGATATTTCGGCTGGAGAACTTTTGCTGGGGGAAGTAAATTAATGGGGGTGCTAAAATGTGGTTGCTGTTACCTTCGTAGAGCAATTTGGAGAAAAAGAAGGATAGTACGAGAGATGCACGTGCTTCGGCATAATAACTGCAAAAAAGGATAAAAAATAAAAAAAGTATTTTTGCAGCTGTGAGACTCACTTGTTTATGATTGGTCAGATATAGTCATATTAGTATGAGATTAGTTCTCTACTATGGTTACCACTAATATCGCTGGGCGTTAAAATCAACGGGATTGTATCTTATATGTAAGAGCTTTCAGAAAAAGTATTCGGTTCTCACAGTTTGTCTGACTATATTTCTCCAAATCTCCGTGCACCATTGCATGGAATAAGAGCCGCAAAATTCCAATACTAGTATATACCCTAGTCGATGTTCTTGTTAAGCAAGAATGCAAGATCTTGTGACATTTCTTGCGCAAGATCTTGGGCAAGAAAGCCCTCGCAAGAAAGTCGATTAGGGTATCAGCATTATAGGAGTATTCAAGTTGTGATCTCTCTTGTAATGGAGCAACTTTAATCATGTTTTTCTTTACATTCACGACGTTTACACTGACATTGGATATAACGTATGAAAGGGTAACTCGAAAGATACAAATATTGATACTGAGTAATTCTCTTGAAAGTGTACCAGAGTTTACATCGACTTTATCCCAACAGTTCGAGAGGAATAGGACTGGCGTAACTCGAGCTCCTGATGACGAATATCACGTTTAAAAGATTTTAAAACAACGGCAGGATGGCCTTCTAGACCTGTGGGGATCCCATTCCCCAGCAGAACAGACCTTTTCTGGGCATTTTCTTCATTTTTTAGCGAAACACTTTCATGCGCTGGTACCGTTAGATTAGAATCTATATGTGCAGCGCTACAAAATTCCTAACGGACAAAAAGTTCCAAAATGCTAAGCATGTTCTCAGGAGAATTTTTTAAAAGATCGTTTTTCCGAAAGTAGGCTTTTTTTAAACCATGTTTCCCCCATAAAATCATGTATTCGACGCATCTTTTCAAGCTCCATCCAATAAATTGGTTCTCCTTGAGGTTAAAAACCATCTAATGATGAAAAAAGACAACTTTTAAAGGCCATTATTCTCGTTTTTCAAAGTCTGAGTACGTGCTGCATCATACCACGGGATTGCATAACGTGGAATGACATATATTTTGTATGTACTCGACGTGGGCTATCAAAAACCAGATTTTTGCCTTTGCCCAAGCACATTCAGAGAAAAGTATTTTTTCAGCAAAAATACCACAGTATTTTGTTTCAAAAGTAACGTCTATAGAGAGCTGTTGATGACTAGTATGGATTGTCTATAGAGAGCTGTGATCCGAACACGGTCCAACTCTAGGGTCGAATCGGGGTCGGGCTACGCTTTCTTAACCCATGTTGGTCTCTAGTTGTCTACTACTACTTTCACAGGGACAAGACAGCCGTCACAAAATAGCGGAAAATGAGAAAGGCACTCTGTATGTCATCTTTCCTAAACGCAGGATAGAACAAAAAGATCCCGTATCATAGATGAAAATGAAGCTGAAGAACTGGATAATATAATCGGAAAATCTATTTTTTTCCTGTTTAAGCATAGAGCCTATTCTTAAGATCCTGTTGTAGAATTGGAGAAGTTTCGGTCCCTCCAGCACAAAAACCTGAGCTTTTTATTCTTTCACAATCACAGTAAACTTACTCGTCGAACTCTACAAGATAACTGCAAATACTTTTTGGTACGCTTCGTTTTCATCCTGTTTTCTCAATCACAAAAGTCGGTGAAAATACTTGGTATCCGCTAAGAGACACAATGTTAGTACTAAGGGCTTATGTCTGTATAAGATGGACTGAACTTGAATGAAATTACCTTAAGGGTCCCCCCCTCTCAGAAATTATCTTCGACATCGTACATCCGATCTTGACGAAGTAAGTTTCTTTTGCACTTTGTTCCGCTTCGCCTTAAGTTGTTGTTTTTTTGTCTCATCATTTACGTTGCTTATTTTTATTCTTAGTTGCTGTTGTTCTTTTGGTAGCTGTTCAATGATTGACACCAACTATAGGACAAGAAATGTCGTAAGAACTTTGAAAAAAAACAAGAATTCACGCGCTTTATCGCAAGAGGTTTCACTAGGAAAATCCGTCAGTTGAAAAGGTGAATAACCTTTCTAAATTCTCAGCAGCTAAAAGCATCTGTCGCTTGTAAAGTCCATGTAGCCTCATCATTATGTCGAGAGACATTGTGTGGTTAGGCATTTGTGATGGTCATCGTTTTTGCAACATGTGCACGACATGATCTAGAGAATTACGCTGCGTAGAAAAGCTCTGAGAACGGGAGATGTTTCTCTGAGTACCGAAGATTGGCCATTGCGCGTTCTTTTTCCAAAATTCGCTTTGGATTCGGTGTAACAGGGTTCGTAAAATGAAAGAAATTGACTTTAGACTAAAAATTTTTTCATATACTCATTATTTTTCATATATTCATGTTTTCTTTTGACGCTGTTCAACATTAAAGTAGGAAGCTAAATAAGATTATATTCATTTCAGTTCATCATTTATAACTTTTGACCGTGTTCATTCCATCCCCAAGCGGAAATTAAATATCATAATAAACTATATCCTTATGTATGTAAATTTTATTCTTAAGTACAATAAAAACATGCTGCAGAAACAACTAATCATCGTCAGAGACATAGCAAATAAATAGATATCTCTTCTCGCATATGTACGACATATGACATTAAGCATATCTGTCTTTTCCTTTGTGTCACAATCTTCTCTGCTATAGTGCAGCATCTGTTTCTTCTGAAAAAGATGAATGTGTGTGATGATCAGAGTTCCCATATCCTCGGGTCAGAAATGCGGAAACTTGCGGAAACTTTTTCTCAGAATGCGGACAAATAACGGACAGCGGACAAATTGCGGAAAAAACTCCAAAATGCAGAATTTGTCCGCAAAATGCGGACCATCTGGGAAGCCTGATGATGATATCAAACTTTTCGATTGATGATAATGAAATTTTCTGTGAGAGCGGAGTAACTATTCCAGTGTGATTGACGAGTGAGGGAAAGTAACCCTAGCAAGCCACCTTCGATTCCATCGATTTATGTAGTGAAACACAAATAGGAAAAACGTTATATATCGTGCATACGCGAGAAGAAATTCCACCTTATATGTCAAGTGTCTATTAAAGTCCTGTTACTTCACTTGTTATTTTGCCACTTTTTTGCTTATTGTTCATTCTTGTCAGTCTGCTTCTTCTGAATAATAAATATAGTGCGTATCGAAAACGTCGTCCGCTCATACAATAGATGAAAAAATTTGTACAAAAATTTAAATCTTTCAGAAATTCACACACCGTTCGCATTAATAAATATACCGAAAAAGTATTCGATGTGAAACATTTGCCGGCAAATCCTGTGCGAGGTATGATTCGCATCAGTGTAAATGGAATGAAATAGAAGATAAACATTAAAGTGACAACAAACAGCATAATAATCAATTGCTTTTCATTTGTATCCATTCTTTTATGTTTATACGTATGAGATGTTAGCATCATATGTCGATCATTCAAAGCACGTCTCAGTGTCCAAAATGACAGACAATTTCCAATAATAATAACCAATAATGGAATATACATATAAAGAAACTCTGTTATTGTTGAATTTAGTTGAGCATATTGACTCCAATCTTGACGAGGTTGACAACGTGTGTTTATATTTTTATCCATTTTTATAAATAACAATCTTGATGAGGATATAAGAACTACAATTATTGTTAGGATGACTAATACTCTTGCACGATAACCACTAATAATTTTTTTAATATGAAGCGGAAATAGAATAATTAATGTTCGTTCAATTGTAATTAAAACAATTGTCCACACAGATACAATAACGGTTGAATCAGTTAAAAATTGAAATGCAGTGCATAAAAAGTGAATTGGATTTTGTCGTTGTTTATTTTCATAAGAGAATAATTTATAAAATAAAACGAGTGTATCTGATACAGCCAATGTTTTGACATAAATAGCAAACGATGAACGATTCAATTGATGATTTGAATGAAGAACGATAATGGTTAATGAATTGCCGATCAACGATATTATAGGTAAAATATAAATGGATCCTAATGCTAATTTTGTGTTAATAACATATGTTGTGAAATTCACGAAGGAGTCAGATAAAGTACCATTGCAGAGATAACGATTCATTTTAGATTACTAATCTAAAATAACGAATAATGTATACATAGCGCTGAGAAAGAAGTAACGATTACTTCATATTTTCAACTTTTTGATGTTCTGAACTGTTCGCTGCTCCTTTGCCGTGTTATGATGTCAATTTGCAAAAATGAGATATCTCAATAATAAAAGATTTAAGAATTTAATATTTTCTCCTTATTTTTATAAGAAAAACATTTATTAAAAGATCGAGATCTTTTTATATAAATAATTATAATATCATGCAGTGGATTGGATGGATTGTTTTTTATTGAAATAAATCTGATAAGTATAGAAAGTATTATAATTATAAAAGCATGTGTACTAATCTATCTACCAAGAAGAAAAATCTTTACAAAAGATTTTAAAAGTTTTTCTTACATCTTCAGCTGCTTTCGTGAAATCTTATAAGCGCTTTAATTAAGTTGTCTGATCAAGTTTTCGATACCTTTTGCTCCAAAATCTTGCTGAAATCTTGAACAGCTTTTTTTTGCTGAATACTTATTACTTTTAGTTTCTGTTATGTTTGAAATTATTTTAATGTATTGTTATTGTTCATTATTCCTACATCTTATAGAAAAGATTATTTTTCAGCTTCTTCCAATTGCTCAATAACTTCTGAAAGCGCATGTAAATTTTTGATTGTGTATCATCACAGATTTGATACAACTCACTATGAAAGAAGTCCAGTCGTATAGACTTGACAGAAAAATAGTAAGATATTATTATACTGACTCTCGTTACTAACTTATCACAGATTGAAGAAGAATGTTTTATTGCTCGAATATGATTGCATGTTCGGGATATTGACTTGTAAGGACACACGCAAAAAGAGTGAGTTAAATCTAACATTTTATACTTTTTATTGTGTGAACTACATATTAGCATATTTAATTTGTTTTATTTACATAAGAGAATCGTGCGTAAGAAACTATGAGAATTTTGTATATGATATCCATTAAATTGCAGAAAAAGAAAGGGGGGATTTTTTCAAAAGAAGTAGGACTTTCATACAAAAACAAAAGAAATATAACAAACAAGTTCTAGCTAATTAAAACTGTCCCTCGAAAATTCCAGATAATCAGTTTGTATGAAGTCAAGACGACATGTATTGTTATATAGCACTTACGACCCTAATGAGAAACTTACTCGAATCTTGCCAAGATCTTAAAATAATCTTATTAAAATTTTAGTGAGATCTTATTAAGAATAGGGTGGTTATACTTTATCTAGGGTTTTTCCAAGATTGTATCAGAATCTGTTAGTATCTCAACAGTAACAACTATTACGTTTTTTAATAACACCATTAACTAACGGTGTTTGAATATCTAGCCTATACTATTGTGATAGAAGCTGAACAGGTTTGAAGAATGAAGAGAAATTTCATATTTTCGTGAGTCTGATTCTGAACCTTGACTTGTACTATACATTCTCTGAAAAATTGTTGGGCACTTTCAAGGGAGCAAGTGCAAGCAAAATCTGAAAAAAAAATAACAATATAAAATTCAGTTATATTTATGTTGTTGCTTATATGAATGCATGAGAGCAAAACAAAAGGGTGAATAAAAATAGAGTCATAAAATCTTATTTAGATCTTAATTAAAATCTTGTAAGATACAAGATCTTGCTAAGAAAATTTTAAAAACTGATAATCATTTCATAGGAGGAATGCTAAAATTTATTTATACAAATCAAATTACTTCTATAAAAAATACGTATCTAATAAAAAATTTATGGATGTATTCGAATATTAAAAAGAACGAGATTTTAATCATCCGAAAGTTATTGTTTGTTATTCTCTATAATCAGGCGTTAAATAATCAAGTTTTTCGTTACAAATATGATACAAGCAACTCAAATAGCTCATTATAACGCGTATCCATTTCAAATTAATTAATATCCGGTAATTTCAACAGTTACAGCAAACTTATTAGAAAATATAATAACTCTAATTTTTTCTAAACCCTGGTGTTTCGTAAATTGCTTCATTAAAAATTTTCCGACTCGATAAGAATGTAGAGCAAAAATTTCTCTAGAAAGTGAGAGATTGGACAGCTCCGTACGATTTGTCCTGAGATTTTGGCAGCGATGCCTCCATAAGGGACTAATCGAGTACTCGATACTCGTTTACTACTCAATTATGTGTTCTTGAGGTATCGCGGCCAAAATCTCATGACAAATCGCATAGAGCTGTCCAATCTCTCACTTTCTAGAGAAATGTTTGTTCTACATTCTTATCGAGTCAGAAAATTTTTAATGAAGCAATTTACGAAAGGTTTGAAAAAAATTAAAAATCCGTAGTCAATTACTCCGTGCCTAATTGCTTCAGGATATTATAAAAATGTTAAAAAAAGAAACCACTTCCTTATATTTTTTTCCTTATAAAAGCCATGGATTTTGTATTAACTTTAAAAAAATCTTTCATCTTTTTCTTAAATCGACCTATTACAGTGGAGTAGCCTTCAATTGATGTTCTCAAAACTTTTTCAAACCAGGAAGTTCTTGTAGACCAAACATTTTAATGAACTTTGGTAAAAGATGCAAATCAAAAAGTTGTATCGTTGCCGAGCTATTGAAATTTTGAAAAGCTCCGAAAAACGCGGATTTCGCCATCTTGAAAACTTGCCAACTTTAAACTCTTGTAATTCAGTAACAACAGGTTACTTAACCTGGAAGATTTTACCACAAATAGTAGATAGTATGAACTACAAAACCACCCAACCGCGAGCTCAAAATATGCTTTCGTTCTTTTGCAATAGATGGCGCACTAAGAGCCTAAATCCATGAATTTTCCTGCAGCACCCATTTGAAATAAAGTCGACTGAGAGACTTTCAACCATATTTCCAAATAGATTATATGCCAAAACATATCTGGTAAAAGTTTGACGGTCTCGGGTGCTTTCATTTTCAATACAGGCGACTTGAGAAAGTTGCAGTTTTGACCAAAAATGGCCATTTTAGGCGATTTTAAGGAATGATTTTCTCCATGGAAACGGGGCCATTCTAAAGCCCCCTAATATACTGCTGGAGTACACCAGGTGTACTATCATTGTCCATGCTGCGATTTGTGGGTTTCGTTAAACTGGCTTCGGGACTCGTTCGGGAGCATCGAGTTCCAGAGGCTCGCTTCAATCAGTGTATTTCTGCTATAGTGAGTGTATTAAAATTTCATAAAAATCAGTCTGATATGTAGTTTTTCACAAGGCATTCAATAATAATACAACAGCAAGAAGAAGAGAAGTACATAGTCGACCATGCTAAATCTGATGGTAACGTTTATTTTATTTTACTTTATGTTTCTCTTCCTCTTTCAAGCTTACTCGAAGCCACTGAGTGCTAGTCCTGGGACTCCATGAAAATCAGATACCACGTCCAAATCCCTCAAAATCAAAGTCTCGCTTGGCTCTCACTTTGAAGAGGACACTTTAGGCTATTTACTCATTAAAAAGCCAATATATTGCTACTTTTTATCATTTAGAGTTCTTAAACGGTTTTCTAGAGATCTCCTAGAAAACCGGTACAACTTTTTGATTTGCACCTTTTACCAATTAAGTTCATTAAAATGTTTGATCTACAAGAACCTCCTAGTTTGAAAACGTTTTGAGAAGATCGATTGAAGGCTACTCTGCTGTAATATTATACAATGCAAAAGAAATGGAAAAAATGTCGAGCATTATTTCTGCATGTTCCTGATGAGCTGGCGATTTGTTTGTTTTTCCGTTAGGAAGAGCAAAGTCTGAACTTCAAAGATCATAGAAAACAAAATTTTTTGTAATTAAGTTTGAGTGAGAAAAAATATAAATATCAAACGTCGCCTAAAACGCTCTTGCAAAGCACATTTGTGTTTAATTTTTCATTGCAGCCTGAGGAGAAAACCCTTTTTGAAAACTAAATAGATGAGAATGTCGTCTGCGCAACTGAACCTTCCTATTCCTTGAATGCAGACTTTGCTCTTTCTAAGGGAAAAACAATTAAATCGCCAGCGCATCAGGAACATGCAGAAATAATGCTCGACATTTTTTCCATTTCTTTTGCATCGTATAATAGGTCGTGGCTTACGTGCAATGGCTCTTAAGTAACAATTTTTTTATAGAGAGTTCCTGTATATACGTTTTAGTTCTTTACTTTCTTGATGACTGTTTTCTTTGATCTGTGTTTGATGGATATATTAATATATTGCGTTAATCAATGGTGACATTAGTGTTGGACGTAGTGTTTGATTATGCAAAGTTGATGATAACAGATAATTTAGGCAGTGAAAGATAATCATCGAATGAGTGAATACTTATTATTACTATTAGAATTAAAAAAATCCATATAAACATACCTTTCTTTTTAGCGTTTCTAATGTTTGTGAAGAACGGATAATCGCAGACTGTTGTGTTTTGTTTCAGTAAGCAGAAAAACAGTTCTAATATGAGTGAAAGTAGTAATAAAATAAAAAAAAGTAGTAAAAAACTGATAGTCATTTCATAGGAGGAATGCTAAAATTTATTTATACAAATCAAATTACTTCTATAAAAAATACGTATCTAATAAAAAATTTATGGATGTATTCGAATATTAAAAAGAACGAGATTTTAATCATCCGAAAGTTATTGTTTGTTATTCTCTATAATCAGGCGTTAAATAATCAAGTTTTTCGTTACAAATATGATACAAGCAACTCAAATAGCTCATTATAACGCGTATCCATTTCAAATTAATTAATATCCGGTAATTTCAACAGTTACAGCAAACTTATTAGAAAATATAATAACTCTCTCTCAGAATAAAAGACTATAGTCTTCTAAAGTTATCTGATGAATAATTATTTTTTAGAGGGTCTTCTACACAAGTTCTAGCTGATCCAAACTGTCCATCGAAAATTTCAAACAATCAGTTCGTATAAAGTCAATATGACATGTACTGTAATATAACACTTACAATTACATCCATAGTAATAGCATTATGCCATTGTCAATAAGAGAGAAAATAACGCTCACATTTCTATTTTCAGCGTAAATGAATGCTGCGGAATATTATAACTTACATATCTCTTATTTTACATGTTTGTCATAGTGCCAAAACAATCTAACACTAAAGGCATGAAATTTAACTACGCAATGCTAAAAGGTAGAATATCTTTCTATTTTCGTTTAAATATCATGTTAAATTGAAAAGTAGAGCATATATCCGGATCAAATGACCGTATACTGACAACCTAAAGAGAAACATCTAACAAATGTAAAGCTCATATTACTGTAAAAAATAATTACGGTAAAAAATGGAAAGAAGCAGAAAAATGCAGAATCCACAATATCTCACATCGTCATGTTTATTCTGGAGTATTCTACCATATTGTGCGTAAAATTTTACTAAAATTATCATTGTATCTCAGAATGGTGCAAAATGCTGTGACAGTTTATAATTTTTCATGAAATTGTAGCATATTGTGAGACATAATGATAATTTTACTAAAATTTTGCTCACAATATAGTAGAATATCTCAGAATAAACATCACGATGTGAGATATTGTGAATTCTGCATTTTTCCACTTTTTTACCGTAATTATTTTTTACAGTGTATCTGCCATAAATACATTTACTAATTAAAAATTTTGTGAACATTAATGATTTGTTACATATTCTGTTAAATATAGTAGTGATTTGTTTTATTTCCTCTATCTGTTTTTACTTTATATGCTATTTGTTTATTTATTTTTATAGACACTATATAAATTTAATGTTTATCTAACAGAGAAGAATGAAAAAAGAGGAAATTATGAGAAAACAATAATACGTGTATCCCATCAAGCGCAAGTCCGTCTGCCTGTCAGATTAGCTTTTTTCTAAAATTATTTTGACACGTATATATTTGTCGATAAGTTATTTATTTTATTAAATATTAGTATAAAGAAAATATATGGTAGATCTAGTCTATATGTAGACAAAAGAAATCAAATCGAAACAATCATTATTTTAATAACCGAAATGTCGAAATTTGACATTAGTGTCTTATCGATTCTGTATTAAATAGAGAATGATTTCGTCAAAACAGTGTTTCCACCCCAAAAAAAAGAGAGAGAGAAAGAAAAACATTTTCTCACTAATAATCTGAAAAACTACTATAATAAATATTGCTTCCGTAGGCATGACATTTTTTCCGTTAACGTTTTGCTTAAAACAGTTAATTTGATGATCAGTTCAATACTGTGTTAAAGGAGAACATATAGAAGAAACAACCCAACATACACACTATAGGAAAAAACCTGGTTAAACAGGATTACTGACATACTCAACACTTTTATTCCTACATTTGAGTTATCATACATAAAAGAGAAAAATTTGGTTGGGATTATTTTCCAGTGTAAAACTTCAACATTTTGTTTTTCATACTCGAAAAATATCCTAAAGTTTTTTTATTTGATCCAAAATCGATTCGAATCTTAACCGAATTTGTCTCAATCTTTATTTTAGAACATGGAAATATCTGAGTATCTCTAGTTTTATATTTGTAATTTAATTTCTAGTATAATGTTTGATTCTTTTCATATTACAACACAATAGATCAAACAACAAGAAATATATATTTATTCAAACAATTGTATTATTTGTACGAACTATTTGATTGACTAATAGAACAATTATGAATAAAATTTATTTAGATGTTGAATGAAAATTTAATAACTGAGTATTCTTGATTAATTATTTACTCTACAAAAATCAACATTTCATACTGACTCCTATCGAGTGAATTATCTAAAGTGATATAAAGCCAGAACGAGAAAAGTATATATATATATATATATACAACTCTCAAGGTAATATACATGTGTTGTGAATAAATATAAAAATCAGAATGACTGTCAATTTATCTTGTAATAGTTCATCAAGGAATTGTCTCAAATGTATTTGGTATACAAATAATTTAAATAAAATATCAAATTTTTTACTACTTATTTACTGATAAAATTCAAATTCTTAGATCTAATTCAATCGTTAATAAACCATAAAAATGTTTCCATTAGAAAAATAATTTTCTAAAATATTACCTGAAATATATTGTGTATACTATAAAAATTATAATGTTTTACTGTCGTCTATTTTATGATGACAGAAATACAGTCAACGGCAAAAATAAAAACAAATCTTCTCTTTGATAAGTGAAATTATAATAAAATTAGTTCTAATATTAACGATCTATAAAAATTCATATTTAAAAGTCTAAATACTATGTTTCTAATGTTTTTTGTTTTGATGAATCCAATTTAAGAGTAAAACTTTCTTTTATTACTGACATTTGACATAATCTAATAGATACTAAGTTGATCTAAACAATTTATTTAGAAGTTGTAATAGACTATTCAAGAAGTTCATTTCGTTAATAGTCAATTCCGTTTCCGTGAATATATTGCGCTGAAAACAAACGTATATTACTCTCTAGAGAAAATATGAATATGAAACGTTTCACAGGAATTTATTGTTAATTTCACGTGATTTTAGTACTCATGTAGAGCAAAAAAATTTCATTAAAGACATCATGTTTTGAACGATTAAAAATTCCGTGACTCTTGGCGCATCCTGTCGTCAAATACTTGAAATTTTCAAGAGAATTAAAAAACATTGTCGATCTACTCTAAGTGCTTGCTTAGTCAGAGAAGTATGACAGTTACGTTTCGATTCCTCATTTTATTCATCAAAAATTTGATTAGATAGTCATTTAGATAATATGATTAAACTTTTATACTTACATGTCAATGTCTCATTTATATTCTGTTGAGCATTGACAATCAAATTATCGAGTTTTCTTTATAAATAGAAGACACTGTGGAAAATGTATAAAGTAGAAGGTAGTTATTATTCCTTCTGAGTAATTTTTTTCAAGTTGTATCTAATGAAAAAAAAAAAAAATCACAGAAACATTTCTTATGACATGCTCTCTCAGAAACGCAGATTACATTTAATATCATCATTATTCTTATTACTGTCAAGTCTGCAACTGATGAAAATAATTTAAGCCATTTTTGTCATGTTGACCAAAACTGTACAACAAATAAGAGAGCGTCGATATTGCGAGTACGAAAATGATCAATAACCGACGAGAAGATGGGGGAAGAAGAAGGGAGCATTGTGGCGGTGATTCTTCCTTGGTTAGAGACAAAATAGTTCTCAACAGTGAATATGTTTGAGATAACTCTTGTCTTCTCGTTTCATCTACACAATGTCTCGCATTTTTAACGACTTTATCGGACATTTGAAGTGCAAACTTTCTAAACGTGTATTTCACATTGCCAAAATTCGACGAGTCGAGCATCGTCAATGCAGCAAGTCCTTTTCTCACTTGGACATTTTTCCTCCTATACACTTGTGGATTATTATAGAATTCAAGTAATGTTGCCATGGCCCTTGTTTGAGGTATGGCACAAAATATAAATATTCGTTCATTTTCTAAGCGACTTAGATAATGTAAACAATCAGGTACATGTCGAAGTGCATCATTGATCATGGCATTTAAGCAAGACAAGGATTCAGGTGCATCTGGTTTCAATGTAAAATCCTCTAATCGATGCACCCCATATTTGGACCATATTTCTTTGGGCCACCATCGTCGACCGCCACCAGTCAGATGACAATCTTCAAAATAATCACCTATGATATTTGTTTTCTGTAAGAATAAACCCACAGAATTCCACAAACATTTGTCTTGTGCGACACTGGCAGTTTCGAGACCACTTTCGACAAACAATTGACTCAAACCTTCGCCTACAAGACCGGCAACATAATGACAATAAAGATCATAATTTTTCACTGTGTCAATGCACATGGATTTGTTCTTGTTTGTGAGGACATGGACAAATTCTGCCATGCCCTTGCCCATTTTCCGTATAATCGTAGTGATTATATTTTGATAGGACGGTTGTGATGTTTTAAAAACACGTATGACTTTATAGAAATGGGACAATAATAGTCGATGATCTTCTGAATCCCCAACATGTTCAATAAACCATGCATCACACTGTAATTTTTCAAAGAAATGTTGTAACAAGTCTATTTTTAATTCATTATCAAGGTTCATGTCATCTTCAATTGAATCCAAGCCTCGAAGAATTAAATAAAATATGGCCACTGAATTTCGTAACGAAAGAGGCAGTTGTTGAATGACATAGGCAAAGGAACGACTCACTTTGTTCAATAAAGTGTAACAAAATTCAAGATCATCGTCCTCTTGTGCCTTTGACGAAGTCGAAGCAACGTTATAGGAACGAAATTTCATTTTGAATAGAGAGTATATTTCCCGTGGATATAATAAGGATGGTAACAGTTCTCTCAGCATCGTGGCCAGCATCTTTGATGTTTGTTATTCAGTAACGTTTTGTACAAAACCAAATGCCTACCTATCTGTCTCTCTCTCTCTTGCGAAAGAATACAGGTGATCACTGCGAGTCTTAAGGATGAAACGTGGTAATCATTAGTTTTTGCACGTCTTTCGATCATCGTAGAACAAGAAGAAACAAAACGTGACACGAGGCTGATATGTTACTTGTAGTAGATATAGAAGAAATAAAAGAACCCCAACAAGGCGAATTTTCAAACTCAAACGGATCGCGATGGGATAAAAGTTTGGAGTAGTAAGATCTATGACGAGTTCAATGATGAAGTCGCCAGATCTCTATCTGGACCACGTACCGTCTTGACGGAGAAGTTGAGTAACTTGAAGAAGAGTACTACTAATAAAAATACGACGAAAAAAGCCTGAATCCATTTCGTTAGCAATACACATTATAAAAGTAATAAGGTGGAATCTTAAAGAAGCTTCGAAAAAAGAATGCTTACAAGAAATCACACCAATAGAGTCTGTTCCCCTGTGAATCTCTATTTTCTAAATCAAGAAAGTATCAATCGATTGATACTTTTCTGCAATACAATCGTTCTTTGAATTTCCTAATGAGAACAGAAACTTGGCTTGCTTCTATCTATAATACGACGACGACCTATCTCTCTCCCTCCCTCTTACTGACCACCCATTTGACATGGTGCTCTCCCTTTTTCCTTTTTATCCCGAATAGGAATAGCCACGAAGATATAAAGTGTCAAAAGAGAGAGGTATACATATGGGCGCCTACTTAATTGCTCATGCACTTTGCGTGAGATATCCGTTTCTCCTCTTTGGCTTCTTTTTCCTTGCATCTCCTCTGTTCAAACTGTGTTTACACGCGAAGCCATTACTTTCTATCGGGTTTCTTTTCATCTAGGTGTTTTTCCGTGTGTGTGTGTGTGTTGAATTGATGAGTGAGCATGGCAGGTCACTTTCGGTTCGTTGGTGTCACGATTTTCAATGTGGGGGGGAGAGAACAATTGTCGTTCAGAGGCGCACATTAATCAACCATCGACATCAAAACGAAAATTCGTCAGAAATTCTTCTTTTATATGGTCGAAAGTATAAAGCCCCTCTCTTTTCTTTTCTTTTCGACTTTCATGAAAACGCTGAATAGCTTGTCGACGAAAACAATAAATGTAACATGAGCATCGTTTGATTACTTAAATGCGATTTTAATCCACCCAAAAGGAAAAAGTTAAAAAGTTATGCGTCGTCGTTAACATCCCTCCCGCGCGCGACATGACGAGGACACACGACCCTGTTATGATGATCAATATCATCTTTGGAACAAATTGTTCAAGAACAGTGAGGAAGAAGCGCTGTCAAGAGACCCCAATCCATTTATGAATTTAGCGTCAATGAAATTCAGACGAGCTTAAGAACCGTATCTCTATCACCTGTAAGAGGTCGTGATACAACAGATGATTGACATGAGTCATGATTTCTCTCTCTATCTGTACTTCTCTTTCAATTGAACTAACTCTATTGTTCTACTTTTCGAGCCTACCAACAACAATGAAGGAATAGGTAGGTGCACCGTTCTGGTCGTAGTAGACCACGGAAAACTCTTAGTCGATCTAAAAAATAGGACATTTTATGCTAGACACCCTGAGCTATCTTTTATGGTCAGGAAGGAAAGTCACACGTAGTTTCTAAGGTAACTGCGTGAGTTTGCTTTGATCTATCTAGCTGAAAAAAGACACGAGGCTGACTCGTATAAGCTTCGCTTTAAAAATGAATTTTATATAATGAAAGTTCTCTTTTCGACACGCTTCTTCTAAACGCAAAGTGCGAGTGATAGATAGATATATCAAACGAAATTATTCGATTGTCGTTTAGTCTCATGTTGCTCTTCTTTTGTCGAACACAAATAAAATTCTTTACCTTCGAGACGAATTCAAGAGTTAAATGAAGTTAATCACCCTATAAAAAAAATTCCAGTGCGGCACTGGTAAAAATCAGTGCGCACCGGTGCGCATGGCATGCCATCGGTCACTGGCACTGGCTGGCACCGGTGCGCACCCGTGCCCAGCAAGTGCCGAACCAGTGCCGACTGGCACCCGTGCGCATCGGTGCCGATATATTTCTGCTGAAAGAGTGCCGCATAGGTGCCGCACTGGCAAAAATTAGTGCCGCATGGGTGCTGCACTAGCAAACATCGGTGCCGCACTGATAATTTATTTAATCAATTTAATTAGTTCTTTATTATGGTTGTTTATGCTGAATTTTGTGTTAGAGTGCGGCACTGATCAGTACCACATCGACATA